CAGGGTGGGGGGTTAGGAAGTGGTACATATGAAGTAGGAGAAAGGAGGACTGAAAAGTAGTCATTATAGGGAAAGTGGTCTAGAACTGACCAATGGAAATCTAATTGGAGAGAAGGGGCGCTTAGAGAGAGGCCAAGGCATGAAAAAGATTACGTGCGCATGTCAGTGTGTGGGCCGATCTGGATTAGGAATAATGTCGGTGTGGGGAGGAAGCGTTCTAGGGATCTGCCACGGGAGGTAGTGATGGAATCACTACCTCAGTTAAAATCACCAACTACGAGGAAAGGTGGCTGGAGTTAGGAAGTTAGAGTTTCAAAGGCAACAAAGTCATTGGGGTGGGAAGAGAAGGAGATCCAACGGCGAAGAATGATGCGAATAACTGTGCAAAGGACAGTGGTTTGAAAGAGAGGTATAACATAAGGTGTTTTCTGGTGGATAAGTATAAACGAGACATAAAGGGAGTGTAGGGAAGAGATAAAATGGGAATCGGGAATTGGTATAGGAGGATGTGTAAGAAGTCTCTTGGAGGCAGATAATGGATGGGTTATTAGAAGTTGACCCACGAGTGATAACGGTTACAGTACGTATTGGAGAATTTGAAGCGGAAGGAGCTAGGGGGTGAGATAAAGAATGAGAGGGGAGAGGTGGTGTAATATCAGGAGGGGTATCAGGAGGAGGAGGATCTGGGGAAGGGCATAGTTGTGATATAAAGGATGGAATGGAAGGGAAAGTGGGGATGGTGGGAGGGTTAATGTAGATGGATCTGGAACTGGGGGGATGGGGCGTTTGGTGAAGGAGTAGGGGGAAGGTGTAGGGGGAATATGATTAGGAGGAGGATGGATATCGGCAGTCATTTTGAGTGTGGAGGGAGCGGGAGTTGTGGCATTGGAGGGTGGATGATGGGTTTCGGTGTCAGTTTGGGACTCGAGCAGATCATTTTGAATATCGTCAAGAATTGGTTGGTTGGGGGAGTTTTGAGGGGGGGAGAGGAGACTGGTGTCAGAGGAGTATAGGCAAGGGTGGGTAGAGGTGGGTGTGTGGTAGAAGGGATGGGACGTTTAGTTTGTCTGCTGCAGGGAGGGAGGGAGGGGGTGGGTGTTCAAGCTGCAGCAGAGATTGGAGGAGTTCATAGAAAAACCGGAACGGACCAAAACGGACCGGAACGGACCAAAACGGGCCGGATGATGATGACTTCGTCAGTTAGTCAGCAGGAGCAAGTGAAAGTCTGTCTATGTATGCGATGATGATGAGTTCGTCAGTTGATAATTTAGTCAGCAGTAACGAGTGACACTAATCACTGACTATGGTTCGTCAGTTGATAATTTAGTCAGCTGGAGCGAGTGACACTAATCACTGACTATGGTTCGTCAGTTAATAATTTAGTCAGCAGGAGCGAGTGACACTAATTACTGACTATGGTTCGTCAGTTGATAATTTAGTCAGCAGGAGCGAGTGACAGTTACTGACTATGTGATGATGATGAGTTCGTCAATTGATAATTTAGTCAGCAGAAGCTAATTACTGCCAATGTTAGGTCCGTTCCGGAGGGTGGGGGAGGGGCAGAACGATCGACATAACTGGAGTAGGGAATGAGAGAAAAACCTCGTCGATGTGCTTCCTGTCTGGTTTCACGCAGAGTGAGACAGAGTCTGAATCTGAGACTCAAACTTATAGGTGGGGCTGCCCCAATACAATACATTATGGGGTCCGCCACAGTTGGTACATATGCGTGACTGTGCAGAGCAGTTTGATCGGTTATGACCAAGTTGGGCACTTAGAGGGTATTGGGCTGTGGAACGGCAGTGTTTGGCAAGATGTCCTAAACGCCAATAATTTTGAACTGACGTAGAGGAAGCTGATATGGTCGGATGGGGAGAGATACTCCACCAATATAAACATTAAAGGGGAGGTCATGTCTACAGAAAGTAATTTTGGCATTGTTGGTGGGGATCTTACGATGGCCTCTTGGAGGAATGGAGCAGCACTGTATTAATATCACATCGCAGTGAGGCAGGCGAGTTATAGATGGGGAAGTTTGTAAGGGAGATGGAGACAGTTCAGGTACAAGTAATGAGGGTTGGATGAGGTTCTGTGGGAATGGGGTTACCAGAGAAATCAGGGTTGATATTCTTATAGTTTGGCTTTTGGATGTATCTGTGACGAGATGGAAATCATCAGTCAGCTGTGGAAAGAGACTTTGTCTATTTGTTTTTGGACACTGCTGGAAGAGAAGAGTGTTGTCAGAGTAAGGAGCTGTGGTGGGGGGGGATCACAAAAAATCGGTCCCATTTGGGCTAAATGGAGTATTTAAGATATTTGTAGAGTTGGAGATGGTAGAAGGATGTGTGGAAGAGGGAGTAGTGTTGAGAGAGGTAGTACTACAGAGAGGTTGACAATAAGGCTGTACAGTGGTAATAAGGGAGGTTGGGCTGGTTGATGAAGGTTGTGGGGGTAGATGGGATGAAATTGAATGTTGTTAGAGTAGGAATGTCTCCTGGAGGTTGAGTGTTGAGTCGTGGTCAAAGGAGAGCCTGGGGTTCAAGGAACTGGGAGGGTTTGAGTCGGTGGGGCTATTTGATGAAGGGGCAAGCCTCATTGCCCCTAACAAAGATATAAAATCTTCATTATTATTCATCCTTTCAACATGGCTCTCATGCCTTCAGAAGTGGATAGTAGAAGAAGTTGGAGAAGGAATGGAAACGAAAAAAATGCACTGGGCCAGTTCCCATCTCCTAAGCCTCCATAAGACAACAACGAGCAAGGGATTGGTGGGGCCTCATTGATACCAATATGTAACAATCCTCCCTGACCAGGACACGAACACAGGTCACTCCGGGTTTGTGGCATCGCATTATTCCGTTTTCATATGGATTAGCGCAGTAAATCTAACTTTGATTTTGAATTTCCAAATCAATTTCCACAGAGTGCCCATGGAGAGTGTGTGTAAAACCTCACTATCATTACTCTTGTATGAGTAGATAGGTAATGTCTATGGAGCTAGTTAGATCCTAGTTGCACACTCCTTTTAGTGGGCCATGTGGTATAGTTGGTTTAGTATTGGGTGCTTCAGTTCGTACCCAGAGTGACCTAGGTTTGAGTCTTTGTGAGGGAGGGTTGTTATATATTTATATCAATACAGCATTGCATTATTCCATTTTTCATATATATTCCTATCTATCTATATATACATATATATATGTACATATAAAATCAAAAGAAATGGGTAAACAAAAGGGGAGTACATTATGAAGACCTCCTTCAAATGAAATAGTAACAAAAAATAATCTGAATCCTAACTCTCGTGGGAAGAAAATTATATTTTTTAATAAATAGTAATGAAATAAAGGAAATATTCAACATTCATTCTGGTTAATGACAAAAGTAAGATTAAAAATCATACAAAAGATGATGATAATTATTCTATTTGTACCTTTTCAGGATATAACAGTGAATTGGTCATAAACTGATTACAGATGCATCCAAGAATTAAGTACTATATCCCTCTGACTACTTTGGTCTCGACACACAGTCTCATAACTCAGAATATTTAAAGTCCGAAAATTGTGCTTAATCATAGATGATAAAGGAAAACAGTGAGAATTCAGGCTTAAACATGTATATCATTTATTTTTGGATATGAAAAAATACAGTAGCGCACAGATTTTTTTTTTTTTTTAGCATATTGACTATAGTCTATACATATGCCATATGCTATCACGTTGGTTTAAACTTAAAACTGAAGTGGGTATTAAAAGCTCTGTCATAATGTTGAACAAAAGTATTGCTAAAAATAGAATATGTATTATTGGGACTTAATTATGAACCCAAACGACAGATATGCACGAAATAATAGTTTCTGTAATATAGACGCATTTTATTTATTAATGAATACGCGTATCAATTATCTTTTCTTGCATTTAGAAGAAAGGAAAAATATTTCATTTTCACACTGAATACCTCACAGTACAAATATAACCAGCAAACTCCGTATGTATAAAAACTATAGCCATTGACATGCAGTTTTTATAGTTTGCCGTTTTCACCAAAGACACTGGCAACACATGAAAACATACTTCTGAAGTTGGCCCCTCATGAGTGAATTCATTGATACTAATTTACCAATCGGACTAAATTTGTGTTCCTCATATACGACGATTATGTGCTCTGAAAGTTAAACAAAGCTTTTGAGCAGATTATTGCCTCTTCATAACAAGTACCAAAATACATGGTAATATTGCCCCTTCCAAGGCAGTTACTATCCCTTTTTTCTATATATATATATTGGCTACATCCAGATCACAAACACTATTCACACTCATAGAATCTATAGAGGTAATTGGACGCATGTGGTGTAGGTTTAGTGTCATTAAGCATAAACCATTCCACCCTTAAACTAACACTTTCACATACTTGTTTTTTGTGTACACAAAAGATATGAGGAATATTGAAAAAAGGTAATAATAATAATAATAATAATAATAATAATAATAATAATAACAAAAATTAAAAACACAAGTTAGTATTATGACCAGAAAGTAAATTCCCCTTGTTATGCTCTGAGAGGCACCTAGAACATATGTCAAAGATCATAATTCAAGTTTGGAATTAGGAAGATGAATGATAATTATCATAACTGTAATAAAGATTAAGAATAACAATAAAATACTAAAAAAGAAAAATATAGAGTGGTCCATGATATCAACATAATTACTAACTTTGTACATGTGTCAAAATCTCCTACATCACGGAGATGATTCCATTTTACATTTTTTATTTTATTTTTATTTTTTATAATTATTTTACTTTAAAAAATTTCAGGGTCTGTCTGACTGGCAGGAAACCCTATACCTCAATGACCATTGCAAAAGAAAAAGAAGAAAAAAGAGAGAGAGAGAGAGAGAGAGAGAGAGAGAGAGAGAGAGAGAGAGAGAGAGAGGGAGGGAGGGAGGAGAGAGAGAGAGAGAGAGAGAGAGAGAGAGAGAGAGAGAGAGAGAGAGAGAGAGAGAGAGAGAGAGAGAGAGAGAGAGAGAGAGAGAGAGGAAAAAAAAAAAAAAAAAAAGGAGTCAACTGGAAGTTCACAATTGTATCAACACTCTTCTTAATTTGTAAATAATTCACAGTAATCAGAGAAATAATAAAAAAATAAAGACAAATAATCAATTTTTAAAATGCGCACACACACACACACACACATGCACACCCACACAAGAAAACAATGATAATTCCCCTTTCCCTATACAACTTCTTGGACCACAAAGACAACTTGCTTCCTCCTGAAAGCTTGGAGGTGCTGGCTCCGATGCCGAAATACTGACTCGTTGAATGAAGAAGCACTTACCATTCTATTGATCATGGTGAAATAACAATCACGAAAACTTGAGCATGAAATTAAGACGACGATTTGTTATCCATTCAACACATATATGTTCACATTCCCATAGAATACAACGCGACTGAAATGCTTTCTTATTGATGAAAAAAGAAAAAAATTAATAAAATAAGCAAAACCCAATCATGTACTACCATCATCATTATTATTCAAGTCTTAATAATAATGATGATTATGACAATAAAAAATAATCAAATAATGATCCTTAAAAATGAAAATAGTAACTGCTTTGAACACTGAGACTGATAATAATGAAAATATAATTATCAATAATCATTAGATATGATGATAATCCCAATGATAATAACAATAATGATAGTACTAAAAATAACAATAACAATAATAATAATAATAATAACCATAATTACAGTAAGGATGATGATAATAACAGCAATAATTACAATAATGATAACAGTATTATTAATAATAATAATAATAATAATAATAATAATGATAATAATAATAATAGTAGTGGTATTAATGATTATAATGATAATGACGATGATGATAATAATAATAATAATAATAATAATAATAATAATAATAATAATAACAATAATAATAATATGAACAAGAACAAGAACAGTAATAATAATAAAAATAAAAATTATAACAACAATAATAATAGTAATGATAATGATAATAATACCAATAACAATAACAATAATAATAATAATAATAATAATAGTAATAATAATAATATTACAACATTCATGATAACAATCATAATAATAATAATAATAATACTATAAGTGACAAGTATCATAGAATAAGTGGTAGGAGCTATTTCAATAACAAAAATTTTAATGATAATAATGATGATAATAACATTACTAATTTTGATGATATCATTACTATCAATAGTAATGATATTAACATAGTATATCAATGTTGCTACTGCCACTACTAATAACAATATAAAATCATCGTAAAAGTACTGCTTAGTGTAATTTTAGTATACTCTTCAAATATTTTGGCTTTACCTATTCATTTTGATTTGAAAAAATAAAAATAATTTTTTCCTCCCTTTTTTCATTGGTTCTACAGAATTTGTAAAATATATCTACCTTCCGAATGCACCTGTTATATCTGTAACAAGTGAACATGTTTTCCAATTACTGGCAATTATTCCTCCTTTGAAATCGTCTATACTCATTTTGTATTTGGAAAAGGGAAATTGGAAACATGTAATGCCACAAAAATAAAAAGGCACATCGTAAGGCACATTTGGAGGAAACTCTAAGTTTTGTGTCTTTTGGACCTGTATTTCCCCTAAATATTTTTTTTCTTGGGCTGAATAGTGAACAAGACAAACCAATTACCACTGACGGAAAACACAGGGAACAGAAAGCATTTAGACTCTTGCACCGCAATCCTCCACCTTAACCGACACACGGTGGACATTGATGGCAGCGGCTTTCTTGGCCACATCCAGGCCATCCACCACCTTGCCAAAGACAAGACTGTATGCAAATTTCTTGAACTCACGCTCACCGCACCAGATCATGAACTGTGAGCCAATCATGCCACGGCCAGCATCTGTGGTGCCAATGCCCTTAAAGCGCACCATGCCCACCTCGTCCTTGAGGGGGCACAGGTCAGCCTCAAAGGTTTTCTTGTCAAAGGCTGAGTACCCACCACTGCCATCATCATTCTCCACATCCCCACCTGCAAGGAATCCTTCACCACTCCTGAAGAAGTGTGTACCCTTGTAGCCATAGCCATTCTTGCCTGTGCAAAGTGCAATGAAATTGTCACACATTCTTGGGGCCTTATCAGGCCGCAACTCGAAGATAATGCGTCCAGCTGTCACCCCATTGATTGACAGCACCATCCAGCAGTGCGGGAATTTACTTGGCTTTGTTATGGGGGGGAGAGCATTGGCAATGGTTAGCTTCGACGAATTCTCAGGTGGAGGGGTGGGCTTGGCTGGCTTTTTGGCAGCATCAACATAAGATGATGAGACCTCCTTTTTGTCTGTTAAAGATTCTACATCATCCTTCCCATTTTCCGTGCTTTCTGACACCAAGAGGGAGAGATTGGATAGCCCCAAAGAAAGAGCAGAAGGTACTGCATTGGAACCCACAGCAGAGGCACCTACAGACATTGGTGTCATTCCATCTGTTGTATTTAAGAGTGATCCTGTCTCAATGGCCTCCGTCATCTGCAATATGTGCTCGATATTCATGCCGCCCATTTCATGAGTCTTCATTTCTCCAACTTTAGAGTGAGTTAGGCCTAGGCTGTCTTGGAGGATTGGGGCGGAGGTGACAGCTGTGGCCAAGGGGGACTGCATTGAGTTGGAAGAAGTTAGAGGGGGTGGGTGATTAGGGCTAAGGGGGCTCATGGGACTAACAGAACTCAGCTGTAGCATTCGAGAGGACAGAAGGTCAGACAGCATATAGAGTAGCAGCACGTTTGCATTATTCCCATACATAGCGTGCTCTTCCAGGGAGGAGGTCATGACAAAGGGTTCTTCATTTCTAAAGCCTATGGTGGATAGCAAAGAATCCAGAGCAGACTGCTTCAGTTTTATGACGATTGCTTCGGTTGCATGGTTGATTGCTGTAACAGCAGCACACTGACTGAACTGATTGGTGATTATTGAAGTATAAGAATGAACCTGAAAAAAGGCAAAAAAATATGTACATACTGTTCATATAATCTTAAATCTTCATAAATATACTATCTATGAGAATTGTCTTAATTTAGATAGCAACTTCTCTCAGAACAACAAAAAACAAAACTTTTAGGCTCACTCCATGCACTTAACCAAAGCAGGATTAAAACTCTTGACCATAAGTCATATTAAGCTTGATAATTTAGTTTAATGATTAAGTTAAAATTCTTTTTATCACTTATTACCAACAGATACAGTGATACTGAAAAAACAAACACTAGTACCCAAAATAATTTTTAAAATATGTGACAAAACTGGTCACACTAGAAACAGATCTTACAACACGCATTTCACAATGTTCAAATATTTTCTACCAAATACTTTTTTTTTTTTTTTTTTTTTTTTTTTTTTTGTGTATGAAACATAAGCTCTATAATTCTTCAACAAGTGCAAAAAAGTTGGCTGCAGGACAATATCTCTTCAAAGGATTGTTAGATTGAATTCCTATTTGGTATCAAAGAATACCATAAAACACAGGTACAGTTCATTTCTGGTTGCAATAAACTTAACTTTGAATGAATCATAGCCCTTTTTCCAATTAAATTTTGCACCAGTCTGTAGAACAGACTATTGCTTGGTTTCACACTTTGATACTGACATGTTGTACAGTGGTAAATAATCCATATCTACAACTGTAATCACTTACTAATAAAAACTCATGAATGGAAACTTACTATTTGGAGGGAATCAATTAAATGCGCGATTGAATTATTTTCGGACAGTGTCTCACTGATCACAGTCAGGTTGGTGAGGTGCTCCTGTAATACTGCTTCCTCAAGCTCCTCCCCTTCAACCTGCAATGAATAGAGGACGGATTATGGTTTCACTCTTGAAATAAATAAATAAATAAATAAATAAATAAATAAATATATATATATATATATATATATATATATATATATATATATATATATATATATATAGAGAGAGAGAGAGAGAGAGAGAGAGAGAGAGAAAGAGAGAGAGAGAGAGAGAGAAAAGAGAAAAAAAGATAAAGATAAAGAGAGAAAGAGAGAGAGAGAGAGAGAGAGAGAGAGAGAGAGAGAGAGAGAGAGAGAGAGAGAGAGAGAATAGAAGAGGTAGAACTGAAACAAACAAAAGAGACAGAAATAGAAGGGCAAGATGGGGGAAGTTAAGATGATGATGATGAAGAAGAAGGGGGCGGAGGAGAAGAAGAGCTAGACAGCAAGCCAAAAAAACAGAAGCTAACCCACCTTTCCCCTGAGTTCTTCCACAAACTTCTCCACGCTGAGCACCGTTCGCTCAAGCCGTTCCTTCATGGCTGCTCTCATGGCCATTGTGTGTCGCAGTTGCTTGAGGGCCACCTCCAGGTTGCTTTGCAGCTGGCCTCGTAGGATATCACGCGCCTGGTCCTCAGGAATCAACTGATGGCCCTGGTTGCTGCACATGTCCATGGCCGGAATTTTAGGACAGGTACAACACACCATTGGTATGGGGCTGCTGCCTGCCCTGCTACAAAGTAAAGCTTGAGGTCAACATGTGATGCACTTATGGTGAACGAAGGAGCAAAGGCTTTTTTTTAACCTGGACTCTGTCATTATGCAGTGGTGGATGGCACTGCATAATGACATGCCCTGCACCACTGGCTCAGCAGAGAGAGTTTATCTTTCTCCAATATGTTTGGTGTCACTACTGGGTGCAGCCACTTAGAGTGAAGGTAATTTTCAGTTTTTCGTACTCTTGTTTATGAAATATAGCGACAAGCTATTTGGCACTTAACCCCACATTGCCATGAAAATGTTGTGTTCATTTTGAGAAATGTATCTGCACATAGATGGCTCTACAAGTGCTTAGCCACAAAGGAGTCAATTAGTAGACCTTGTGACCTCCCCTGATTTCACCTTTCCTTGAACTTGCGGGAATTTTTTTTTTACTAATGCTATCAATATTGATTCTGTTATCATTATCATATGCATTATAATCATCATAACATTATTAACATTAGGAACAGCAATATGATACCTGAAAATATTTCCAAAAATCACGGAGAAGGGTAAACAGGGGAGACAGTTTGTACTCACAATTGGCTCATTGGTGACAGTTATTGGGTTAACCCATGACTACATGTCTTCCCTTTGCCCTACCAAACCAAACCACATATGCAGTTAGCTGCATATGTGAAAAATTTGAAGCTTAAGAAACATACATTCATAGCTTCAGCATACAGCATCAAGATAGGATGCTACAAAGAAACTTTGAGGGTAACCTTGAGGGATGCAACTCCTGAACAACTGTAGCTAGGGCCAAAAAAACAAAGAATTGTTTAGTAAAGCTGATGTTAGGGCCATAGTATCATTTAGAGCTCTTTTTTTCACACATGAAAAATATTCTCTAGCTACATTCCTCCTATACATATCATTGGGCAATTTCTGTATTTCCATGTATTTTTATCATCATCATCATTATCATTAGCATAGGTACCATTAATTTATTTTCTTTCTTACAAAGGCTACATCTCACTATTTTTCCCAAATAAATAATACACTAATACACTCTTTTTATTGCAATGCTCTTATCGGCAAAAAGAAAGAAGGAAAAAAAGAAGGAAAAACATCCGACCAAAATAGTAGAAGCTAGATCTGGGCTGCCAAACTCCTTTACAGCAGGTGGCCACATTTCACCTTAATATACAGTAAGCAGGCCAGATAATCATGAGTAGACCAAAACCACATCATATTAACCCCTTAACGCCGGGTGATGCTGATCGGCGTGAAAACAAACCGCTCGAAAGCTGGCGTGCGGCTGTACGCCGTGGCAGCGCACCAAAGCGCGGTGAGCCAGTGATTCAGGCTGATGTCCCCTACTCACACGCTCAAAGTCGGCGCGCCGCCTTTGTTTGCTAGAGCGTAGAGTTTTTTTTTTCGTTTTGTATACCCGGAGCCATTGGGTTAAGCAAGTAAGATGATGATCATGAGAATAATGAAAAAAAGATATTAAAAGATGAAGGACTAGCATAATTAATCATGGAAAATGGCCAACTGTAA